GGGGTGGGGTGGGGCGGGGGGGCATGTAGGAGTAAACAGGTGCCTCATCTGTATTCTGTGCTTGTGGCTGATTCGCGAATGCGCTTGAAATTCCACGAAGCAGACGCTGCGCGCAGCCTTCGAGGCGGACGAACTCGGTAGGTGATTAGCTGGGCAAGTTGTAAGACTGTAGGGATGTAGGGCTGTAGGGCTGTAAGGATGTAAGGCAGGTCCTCGGTTAGGGATACACTAGCAACTTACAGGAGATCCAAAGTTGTGGCCGATCTCGTGCGCCAGCGTGACGTGGGAGACTGCCGGTGGCACGTGCTTCCCGTAGTTGAGCAGGGTGATTATTCCCGTGTTCAAGGATTTCATGCTGCCCCTGTAGTGCTGTAACATGTACGTAGGGGGAAGGCTTTCGAGTTTGGCTAATCGTAAGAAACGTGCTGGGCTGCTTCTCCGATTCGACCCTCGGCTGTCCACAGCGGAAAGCTCCTCCCCGCCCCCTTCTGCCGAAGTCTTTGAAACTCACCCCGTTTTTCTCACAAACGCCGCCGGCATTCTTGAGGTCTCCTGTCCAGGCGAGGCCGAGGGTTCCCTTCTCAAAGTCGCGATACGTAAACATGTACGACAGGCAAAACGCATCGTAGTCCTCCTCTGCAAGTTCAGATATCTTCATAATCGCGAACGGATAGTTTCGCCTTAGGTCAGGCTGCAGCGCAGCGGCCCGCGACAGTCGTGCAACCGTTAGCGTCGCTGTGCCGCATTTCAGTTGAAGTAAAAATCCAAGAATCGGAAATGACAGTCGATAATGAATTAGCTGGCCGGCAGCGACGGAAGGTGAAAGGCGTCGCTTCGGACGTCAATTTCGAGTGACAGTTGGTTATTAATAAAGGCTGCCTTTGACAAACTTCCATTCCGCGACGTGGCCTTTAATAAACTTTCCGCATCAATCATACCTCTTTGGATTATACCTAGGTGCCTGTACGTGTACGCGTACTCTTTTCCCCGATCGCGTACTCTTTCCCTGGTCCCGCCCTTGACTTACAAATCGAGGGGTTCCATTCCGCGTCCATGGACGTGTCTATCGAAAAGCCATATATGTGACAAATATATTTCTGCATATAATGAAGTTTATATTATTTTTAATATATTTAATTACTTATTTGATATTATATGTATGTATAGATATGATGGGAAAGTATATGGCGTGATACTAATTTATCACTTTCACTTGCAACTATATACATATGTCAGTCGTTATAATAATGTACTTTGAACTAATGTTATATTGGACACGTATATGTATGGTTTTTCTCTACGAACGTCTATTCGATAACGAATCTTTTGAAGAGAGAATAAAGGACGTCCCGGCATTACGCTCACGCACACATTGCGGTTACGCTGACGTCGTCGCGCAGCCAACGAGAGAAAGAGCCCAATCGCGCTCATTAGACAATGGCTGTGTTGATCATTCGTCAGGGGCGACTGCTGCAAGCGCAGTCAGTCAAGAAGAATCTTTTTTCTCCTGATGTCAGCTACTTAGCGGACTCTCTCTCTCTCTCTCTCTCTCTCTCTCTCTCTCTCTTCCCTTCAATGTTCTTAAATTCCTTCTGGTTTTCTCCCTCTCCGCGCACGCAAGGACTGTCCAACCTTCCCTCGTGAATAAAATCAGTCGAGGAGTCGCAAAAGTTTTTTTCACATTAAATTACTCGACATTTTATTGTTTCAATTTATTACTTGCAAACCTAGCTGGACAAGATTCACATGGGTATGTGTGTATATGGATATAGCCCGTGGCAAAAGTGGTCGAGTTTTACCGGTAAAATACTGTGAACGACGAGGAATTAAAAAGGACATTAATTAAACGAGCAGAGCGCGTTTCCACTGAAAATAACTTGAAAATTATTTCGTAGCGCGGCTACGTGACGTAAGTTCGCGTCTTGCTCAGTTGGTTCAGTTGGTTCAGTTGGTCAGTTGGTCAGTCGAGTACTTCAGATCCGCTTTGTCACTCATTTCCCTGGACTCTTTTGCCATCCTGCTCAAATCAATTGTTCTCGAATTATTTCAGCTACCCGTCTCCTCGTTACTACAAGAATAAAATCGATCGAGATTCTGAATAGCGAACCGAAAGGACATGGTTGATGAAAATTCATTATTGGGGATGGAACAGCTGCCAGAATGTATTAGGCAGATACTAGAGAACCAAACGTTCGCGACTTCTGCAGAGAGATTGGAAGATTGGAGGAGATTGATCCTGGAGGCGCGAAATATCGAAAACCTTAGAAGCCGCGGGACTCCCATTGGCGCGAACGACGCGTTTGTGCCTATGTGTTCATTGTGCCTTTGTTTCTGCTCGATCGACGGCTCGATCGACGGCGCCGATGAAGCAATGAAGCGGACCATCATGGACGCGCCCTGCAACCTACAGCAGACCACTTTCATGGCCGATTCCAATCGCTACCGGCAACTGCCCGTTGCGCATTGCATTCTCTCTTTGAGACGACGTGCGATGCTGCTCAAAATGAATAGGATCTGTGAGCCGGGCCTTGCCGTTAGCTGCTTCCCGAAAAACACGGGAGAATTCGAATTATTGCACATTGGACTCTTCGAACTACTCACCGGAAAAGAGTTCGAGGAATTCCTCGACACCATGGTTGCCAGCAAATCGATATGTGGGATCTGCCAGGGCGCCTTCCCCGTGAACTTTGATGCGCTTTATCATGAAACTGATATTGTCCGATTCGCCATCTTGGTTGAAATCTGTAGACGCAAAGATAATCAAAGATCAGATATTTAATGAAGTCAGTTGTGTCGAGATTCGCAGCATCTATTACTGGACAATTCCACGTGTGGAAGTAACGGAGCCCATGTTGAAGTATCAGTCAAGTGTATACTTGACTCGACAAGGACATTCGCACGGAATACCGGGGAACGTTTGCACAGTCAAGAAGACGCTTTAAAGTAATTTTGAAGTTTCGCACAGTAGAAGAAAGTGATTTCGATTTGGCAATGGGAGTAAGCGCCAAAGGAAAATCTAATCGAACCTAAGGTACGTTCGGGCTGGCAGCCATTACTCGCGTCTGGAGGGAGGAGGACGGAGGGAGGAGGGAAGATGGCTCGTTGCGTGAGGAGGAGCATTTTGTCAGGCGGGCTTTGAATGGAATTCGAAAACGGAAGAATGACGTTGACTCACGCGAGGGCCAAAGGCACCGCGAGCATTGTTCGTCCTTCGATTGCGAATGGTCGTGCGGACGTGGAGGACGGCAGCTCTCCTCGGAAGCTGTTGCCAGAGAATTGGTAGCAGAAGCCGATAGGCCTGTCTCTCCTGATTCTGATATTCGTCGACCCATTCCTCTAGCTCTCTGTGGCTTTTGCCACAAACGTTCGCAATTGACGGGCTATAATGTAATTTATGACTTAAGTAATAAGCTAATGAGTCAAAAAGAGAGCCCAACGAAAAAGGCAGCCGCTGATCTGGCTCCGCAGTTTCGATATCTCGAACGATTCGCGTGCTCGCAGGAACGGCGAATGTTGACCCCTGGACACTTTGAGATTTGAGATCGATTGGCCGGGCGCAGGTCACGATTACGGGGGACACGCATCGATCGCACAATTATTCACGTCGAGCGACAGATTCAGCCTGACCAGCTAATTTCCCGGCAGCCCACGAGAGAATTAGTCACGTGCCTCCTTCGCGTGAACAGAATGCTGAATCTAGGCAAACTCAGAGGCGCCGCATTCCGAATATATCCCAACGGACTTCCGCTCACTGGGGTTGCCCCAGCATTTGTCTCTCGGCATTTCCGACACAGGGTGCCTGGCAACTCGCGTTTAATTCGGCTAGAAGATCCTGGGGGAATCCCCTCGGGGTGCGGCCCTTCCTGTGCTGGGCAGGAGGGCAGGAGGGCAGGAGGGCAGGAGGGCAGGAGGGCAGGAGGGCAGGAGGGCAGGAGGGCAGGAGGGCAGGAGGGCAGGAGGGCAGGAGGGCAGGAGGGCAGGAGGGCAGGAGGGCAGGAGGGCAGGAGGGCAGGAGGGCAGGAGGGCAGGAGGGCAGGAGGGCAGGAGGGCTTAACGCGCAAGAACGTCCGGCAGCGTCCGAGGACGCCGACGAGAAGACTCGAATCGGCGAAATTTTATTTATTAGCCTGCAGAAAACTTGAACGAAGATAACCAAGATTATCCTACGATCGCAACGCGGGAGAGAGACGAGTGCTAGAGTGACTCGTATTAAACGGACGTAACGGACGCTCTGAAAGACTTTGGAAGTCAGGCGAGACGCACTTGTCACTGGACACGCCAAATCGAGTCTCACTGTCAGCCAAATACTTTTCCTTTGGCTGGCTCCGCTTCTTACGTCACCCTTTCACACGTCCTGCTTTTCTCTTCGTCATTAACTCATTGTCCTAGCTAAGGAATGACAGAACGTGTCCATTGGCAGGAGTATCGATCGGTCGAGTCCACTTGACGATTCGCTCCGCAATTCGCCTAAGAGATTCGAGGAATATGGCGCGGAGGAGCTCTGACGAGCGATAAGAAACACGCGAGGCTTCGCCGCGGCTGATTTCGAGCACGACGCCCTGCGCCGCAGGCCCGCAGCGACTATCAACACCCCGTAATCGGCCGTCGCGTGATAACAAACGGATGGCCAAGTTCAAATTGCAATATCGCGGACTCCTCGCGGCGAACTACGTTCGAACGAACTGCAGGCTGATCGCAAAAGATCGGCGCAAAGTCTCGCGGAACGGCTGGAACCCTAATTCTATACCGACAATCAATGTAACAGCTTACCGGTATATCTGTAGATGGAATTGATTTGCTGGACATGTCGCGTCATCACTTCGATGCAGGCCTCTTCCGACCTGTAATGTTCGTAGAAGGTGTGATCGGCCTGCAGGTAGAGCATGCAGGTAGTCTTCTTCGGATCGATCGATGTACGTTTACTTAACACTCGCGAATATCTCTCCCTGTAGAGCCTGCAAAACTCAAGAAGATGATGAGCAAATTCAATTTCTCTCTTGGACTTTGACGCGTGAGGAACGTCGTTGTTTCTTTTAAGACACAGCCCTTGTCGAACGTGTTCTAGATGCGATAGAGAGGCAGAGAGAGAGAGAGAGAGAGAGAGAGAGACAGAGAGTGGCGGGATCTTGTAGAAATCTCGAAAAGATTTCCATAACACGTGCGTATACAAAATTGAGATTCGATCCCTGAAAATGTTGTTTGCTGCGAATATAGTAAATCCGCGCGCGCACACAATTTCCTTTCGATGAACATTCAGAGGCGCCCCGCGAATAATAAATTCCGGCTGGGTACACACTTGGCAAGGTAAACATTCTCGAGGATCTCTACAGAAAGGCAAACCATTCTCCTTACACCTTGTATGCCGTAGGACCTACGTGCTCTCTCTATCTCTCTCTCTCCCCCTTCAAGCGATCTTGTCCAGATCGTTTTTTCTCGGAACAACCTCGGTTGGCTCAGCCCCAGGCCAGTGGCGAATTCGCATGTAGCTCGCTTTTTTTTTCAAAGCGTTTCGAATATCCAAAATTGCCCAGCATGCACCAGAACCCTGGATGGGCACTGCGTGCACTTGACTCTCGTGACCAGAATTCCAGGTATTTAGGTATAAAGGTCAACTAACGCAACGTACCTATCGAGTAGTTCAAGATTATGGGAACTGGCCGTCGGGTCCTTTTTCCGCGCGTCCTTCGGGTAGAAGCCGGGCTTCGCGTCACTTCCTCCATCCTTGATGTTTTGGTAAAGGGGTTGCCAGCTCCTGTATTGGTATTCTCTCTGAGGTTGATTAATTCTGAAATCATTAGTTTCTTTCTTTTTTGTTTATCTTTCCTCTTCCCATATTTCTTAATTCTATGCACCGTCAGAATGCATCCAACACGCCCATCTCTGCTCAGCTTTCTAGCCTATACATATAGGTGCAGCCTGCAGTTGGGTGAAGCAATTGAAACCTCTAAAAATTCTACTGTCTGACATACTTATGTACTTTTTACAAGTATACATGTTTTTCATTGAACTCAACTCCGACAAGGAACATCGAAAAAAAACATAAGAGATAAATGAAAAAATAATGATTGACTTTTGGGTTGACCTGATTGGGTCGTCAAGGATGAAATTTGTAGTTATTAACCAACTTTGCCTTTTTTTCTACAAATTTCATCCTTGACGACCCAATACTTTATCGGCGGCCAATCGAGAAGATTCCAGCTTACGTGACTGTTAAGTTGAGAGAGTTGAGAGAGAAGTTCTCGAGTGGAGGTTGATTCAGGGAAAGTGAATGTTGAAGAGGCGTCGCGACGTCACCCGAACGATAAGCTATCGTGTGACAGGGAGTCCCTTGGTACTGGGTTCCGGTGCCAAGATATCTCGTGGCAGGTTCTATGTAAATTTCCTCGGCTCCCGTGATGACAGTGCCGTCGAAGAGGCCGTCCTCCGTCACGACGCCGTACACCAACGCTCTCTCGTTGTCTGCAACACAAACGTACGTGGGCTCTCGAAGTAACCGATCAGAATCAGGACCGAGGGAAGCAACCGGTATTCATGAGGGCCATGAGGGCCACGAGGACCATGTGAATTCGATAAAACGATCGGTTCTTAATATTCTCGAGACACGTGTGTCACACGCGTCGTACCAGAGCAAAACTACATTCTAATGGAATCCTCAAAGTCGTGTTCTGCCTCTCGAAAGGTTCGTTATTAGGTTACTACATATTGGATTCACATATCTGCGTCATGTTCCATTTCAGGATAAACTGCCACGAAATGGTGCTAATCGTTAGGGCAATAATTTCTCCTCGCGGATTTATGTTGTCAACCAGTCGTTTGTTATTAGCAAATCCAGAGAACTAGAAATTTCAAATTATTCGTTCGTCAGGCTGATCCCTTCGGACAGGGAAAACGCCACGTGGTGGACATTTTGCCGTTTCCTCGCGCTACTGATATTTCATTGCACTTGGCGCAGCAACGCTCAGACGCTGCACGTCATCGGTTCGATGGAATTCCAAGAGCAACCAGTCATTGCAATCGGTATCACTACTAATTTGATCCTTTCTCTCAATCGTCTTCGCAAACAGGATCGAGTGTTCCCACGATTGGACAATTCAATCGCCGTGACTCGTAGGACTCCGTGACCCCGTGACACCGCGAATCGATGCGAGGTTTGCCCAACCAACTATTGCTCCCTTGAGGCGCACTCACGCGACAACTTCCGGTATCGACTGGACGAGTTCATTCGGTGCTTTTCTCGAGGTTTCATTCTTCTTTTTCTTTTTTCTTTTTTCTTTTTTCTTTTTACCGACTCCTTTAATTATTCCGACGCCTGGGAGGTTTGACTGCCACGTCCTTCTGCACGGGCTCGAGAACCTCGGAAGGACTGGTCGACCGTCCGACTCGCCGAGAGATAAGAGAATCCTGCCGCTTATCGCTCTTTATCGTTTGGTACGGAGTGAGTGCCTCGCTCGATTCGTCCCTCCCTTCCTGTACGCGCACCGCTCGTCTCTTCTTGCCTTCATCGTTTCTCAATTACGTCAAGCAAAGATAGGATTTTCCGGATTTCACGGGTTTCTCAATTATAATGGAGAGGGCCACCCTCCGGAGTCATCGGATCCTGCGAAACTGAGCCCGTGTGGAGTAGAAACGTCTTGTCTCTTATGAGCTCACTAAAACGTGTCGGCGCAGGAAACATAATGAGAAAGCAGAATATACCTTAACTGCCTCATTGCCTCCTTCGCAAGACAAGGAAGTTCGGT